CTCCATGCCACCCCTTACTGCTTACATCCTCCTTCTCAAATTCAGAAGTAAGGATGAGGAGCAAGAGGAAGAGCTAACAAGAGGGCATGAAAAGGTTTCAGGTTAGGGGCACTACCCACTTACTCCTGTACTCTGCCCTCACCTTCCACACAAACACACTCCACCTTCCAGGTCTTTGGCAGGTAAATTGCACTAATTTAGGCTCTGATCCTGCAACTGCATCCATTTGGATAGACTCATGCAAAGTTCTACAGAAGTCAAAAGCGCTCTGTGCCGGGATCCATCTTTATGGACATTGGTGCAAAACTAGGGCTTTAGATATTACCTCTGCCTTTAGTCTCCTCTGTGCCAACCAATCATCAGACAGGAGAATGGGAGTAGAACAATAAGGGAATTTGCCAGGCTGTTTCCGTGGAGTGAAAGAGGAAATGAGAGCAAAGAGGTATGCAGAAGCGAAGGTGTGCAGGGCCCCGAAGGCTGCAACAAGGAGCTTTGATACAGAAGATGAGAAATCTATGTATATGAAAAGGGGCTGGACAAGATCAGAGAAGTGGACTAGGTGGATTATTTTGCAACAGAATTATACACAAATTAAGACTGCAGAATTAGAGAGGTTAGACTATTAAATGGAGAGATACAGATGAAAGACTCCAAAAGAGGTACACAATTTAAACTTGCAAACTTACCAAAACATTTAACTTATGTTCAGTCTTGAATTTTTCAGCAAACTCCCAAATTCCCTTGGGATTAGACATATCCAGAATGTGCAAAAAGATACTCTAAAAGAAAAAAGGAATTATGTTACAACCAATATGGAAAGTCAGTGCTCTTGATTTTCATCTAAATGGGATTTAAAACTAGCTCCTGAAGTTATACGCAAAGATGCTCACACAAGGACCTGACCCAAGCCATCTGAGGTCACAATGCACAGTTTGGTGATTTAACTCTAGCCCCTAATAACATGGTGACAAAATTATACAGAAAAGCTTGCAAAATGGTGCACAAACTATGCATATGGCAGTTATCAGCGTGCTTTCATGAACACATAAAAATAGGTGTATTCATCTAGTCAACAAAACTCAATTACATAAGCCTCCAAACTCTAATCTATTCTTACTATAAAACATGTTAGATCTTCCAGCATTGCACTGGCAAAGCATCTTCCATTCAAAGATCTTGTGGTGCCTTACAAGCATAAACTAATTATGCCTCGCAACCCCCTGAAACAGATGTAGCTAAGTCTTACTCTCTCCATTTTATAGAAATGACGACTGAGAACGAGAGAGGTTAAGTGACTTACCCTACGTCACACAGTGTCTGTGACAGAACCAAGAATACAATCTAGATTGCCTGACACCCATGTTCTAACCTTCCTCTTCTCTGTATCAAAGACTACGGGTTCTTCCTGAGAAAGCTACCATTTGATCATTTTTACATTACTAATTATGAATCTGCATGTGAATAACTCCAAAAGTTACACTGTAGACAACATTTACTTTTTTTTTTTTAAATCCTTTGAGAAAACTGGGACTGTCTCCATCAGAGAGGACTGACCTTAGATCATGGAGGTAAGAATAAGACTGGGATGTGGAGACTGGGATTCTGACAGGGAGACAAAGATGGGCTGGGCAAGGAAAATGGAACTGGGAGGAGAAGCCTGAGGGGTGGAGGTTGAAACCAGCTAGGTGAAGAGATTGGGACGGGGCAAGGAGCAGGACAGTTATGGGCTGGGAGGGATGGTGCAGACGAAGTCATGCCTTTGGGGAAGAACAGGGGCAGAAAGGTCTGTGACTATTAAGAACACTCCCTCCAGAGCGTGGAATGGAATCCTAGATTCCAGAATCCCAATGTTCCTCTACTGTCATCAAATATCTATGAAACCCACTGGCAAAATGCATCATTACCTTCTGGTGATGGTCCAAACAGAGGAGGACAGCGCACTACTGCTATCAGTTATTCCACTAACTCAAGTAGCAGAGATCTGTGCTATGGAGCTAAGCATTCCTGCCCTGCTGATGCCCCATACAGGTATCAATATGATACCACATCATGGAATTTCCCCCCCCCGGCACACACACACTTTGTTTAAAAAACAAAAAAAAAAAAAAACAACCTAGGATATTACACACACAAAGCTATGTTAACAGAATGTTATTAATGCCTGAACTAAGGTTGCTTGTGCAACCTTAATTCATCCTCCTTCTGTGTATGCATTACGATACATATGGAATTACATGATCACATACTATCTTTTCCATGGTACCCCCTCATTCAGTGCACAGGATACATGGCGCTCACTGAACGAGCAGCTACTCCGTATTGCGTTTTACCCTCATCATTGAATGTAGGGCCTCATGCCTTATCTACAGCGCACTGTTCAAACCCTGCTCTGAAGACAGAATTATTAGTTTCTTGCCCCTATAAAGTGACCCCATTGCACAGACAGGGGATGCAGGCAGAGAGATTAAGATCAAAAGCATCCACTAATTTTGGGTGTCTGATATGAGATGCCTAGGACTTGATTTTTCCAAGCATTACACAGCCCTTTATACAGCTCCCATTGACTCCAACTGCAGCTACAAGTGCTCAGCCCTTCTGCAAGTCAGACTTTCAAGGGGCTCAAATTGAGCACCCAAAAAATGAGGAACAAAAAAAAAAAAAAAACACACACACCCCTGGCTACCTGGCAAAAAACTTACTGCAAGTTCCTTGCCCAGCATCATATAGGACCGGTGTGGCAGGGATAGAATCCAACTCTCCATGGCGGCATTCAACTGCCTAAACTATAAAACAATCCTTTCTATTCCTGCAATCCCCCACCTCCTCTACTACTTACAACTTCAGCAACAAATGAGGCAGGGTTCCTACAGACAACTATCTCCCCCACTACACAATCCCAATTCATCCACAGGGCAGATCCACCCTGTGCACTGAATGAGGCAGGGCTCCTGTGGGAAAAAAAAAATAGTGTGTAATAATGTAATTAAAGACTATTGCAAAGCATATTCTTGGGGGAGGGGAGCGGGTAAAACAAGTTAAGGTTGCAGAGGCAACCTTAATACTATCATTTCTTAACCTTTGAATGCTTGACCTATAGTGTTTTTAACTTAGTTTTGTGTGTGTAATTTAATCTGAACCAGTGGTCCCCAAACTGTGGGGTGTGCAGGAATGTTCAGGGGGCACATAGCAGGGCCTGGGCCAGCCCCCACGGCAGTGGGAAGGGAGCACTGGCCAGGCCCGCTCTATCCCCAGCCACAGCTCCTCTCCGGCCCCTTCTCTGCCTTCATTCCCTCTTGGCCCCCAGATCAACTCCACCTCTAGCCCCAGCTCCTCCCCCAGCCCCAGTTCTACCCCCAGCTCTGCCTTCAGTCCATGCTCTTCTGCTGAGGAAGCCTTTGCTGTGCAGTAATGGGAAGGGGGCAGACAGATTCCATTACTGGTAAGGGGGCGCATGAGCACGACAGGAAAAGTTTGGACAGCACTGACCTAAACTGAATTGGGTTGACTGTTGGTGCTCTCATAAGTAACAAAACCGTCCTAAAATAAGGTTATTTTTAAAACCTCTGTTGCGTAATGGTCAAGCACATGGAAAAGGCTGTAATCTTCTTCCAGAGCAGAATCACAGAAGATCAGCTGGGTACATTTTTTTGCACAAGAGGACTTGAGGACTGTTATATAAAAAAGTAATTGATATACAACTATAAGCAACCAGCAGTTTTCAGAAGTGACACTCAGAGTCACGTCATGACTATCCTCCACTATTCTGAAAACAATGTTAAAGTGGTAGGCATGTAATAAAAACACTAATGAGAATGGAGCACATGAAGGGAAAACTTTTGATGAAAGTAAAGTCTATATACCACCAAACCCTAACTTCTGAAATATTTTCTACTTAGCAGATCAAAAGTCCTGTGTTTTAAATTTACTTTGATTAGTTAATATGCAAATTCCTTGCCAACACAATGTCTGTAAATGTATGTTTCACATAGCATAATGGAGTTTCATTTATGATGTTAGAAGAAAATCCAACCCTCCTCATCCCTTAATAGCTTTCAGTCTCAAAACCACCACCACAAGTAATCTTATGATGTATCCCATGATGAGGCATTTCCAAGATAATATGTATGTGTTCTATGCAAGACTGAAAATAGTCACTGAGAAAGGACCTCCTCTTCTACCAAATCTTTTCTTTAAACACTCATTATGCAAGCAGAAAGAGAGACAGATGAGATGCTGGGAAAATCAGAAGAAAGGATTTTCATTTTTATTTGTATCACAGCACTAGAACCCTAGTCATGGTCCAATGTGTTAGGTGCTGTACAAACAGAACAAAAAGAGGTCCTTCTAACTTCTAATTCTGCTTCCCTGAAATAATCATGTGACCGGATTTTTTTTACTTTTGGGTTTTAGCTCCCTAGCACAAGACAGCTCAGGATTTCCTTATCACACTGTTCGGTCACAGATTAAAAGGACTTGAAATTGATTTCATATTTTCTGCACAGAAGGTTTTATCCAAAAGAGAGTCCACTCATGCTGGCAGAGAAGGTTGGAGGTGATTTCTGAGCATATATTCCCATTAACAGTTGTGGGAGTAGGATTACAGATCAATACTGACACTCAAAGAACTTTTCCTGATACCTTAGAGAAATGGTCTATACCTCTTCCCCTCTGAACAATTCCCTCAAGGTAGCAGGTTTTTTCCCACACTGGAACCTATGTAGAAGTTATCTAGTTATGTAACACTTGACCAATATGCTAAAAGGAGGTTAACGTCCTATGGGGAGATGGTCCTCTTCTGACAGAGCATTTATAGGGAAGGATGTCCTTGCAGACCCTCCATTAAGATGAAAGTGGGTGGGATAATGCAGAGAACTACTTATAAAATCTTTTAAGACTTACTGTTGGCAAAGTGCTTAACAAAAAACTCAATACTAAACTCACCTGATTACCAGTTTCTGTTGTTATTTCTCTTTTAGCTTCTTCAGCTCTCTCTGTATTTCGGCAAACCAGATGAAGTGTGCCACCTGGTGGAATTCCATAAGAATCACAGTTAATTAGGTGTTAAGTGAATGGGTGTGGGGAAAGGTAAGAGTAACAAAATGGTATTTGATTTTTTTAAATACAAGTTTCCACACATTCCAAGAGGAATATCTCTGGAATCATACCAGCTTAAAAAGGGAAAGGGTGGGGTATGACTGTATCAAACTGTGAGTTGTTTGCAGTGTTGTTGTAGCCGTGTTGGTCTCAGGATATTAGAGAGACAAGATGGGTGAGGTAATCTTTTATTGGACGAAATACTTGGGTGAGACAAGTTTTCAAGTTACACAGAGCTCTCGTAGCTTGACTCTTTCACCAACAGAAGTTGGTCCAAAAAGAGATATTACCTCACCCATCTTGTCTTTCAATTGTCAAGTCCATTTTGTACCTGTGTTGAAATATTGGCACTGTAACCACATCAATTTGGACTTGCCTGGGGCAGCCTGTTATGCTGCACTCCAGATAGCTGACCTTCTCAGGAAAAGTGTTTGACACCTCACTGAAGGCCATCCCTGAAAGTCATCAAAGTTGCAATCTAGGGCTATTGACTTTGATTGCCTCAACTACTGCATCCCCATAGTACAAGGCCTTTCTACACAGAGGCCTGCAAGTGGGAGGCAAGCATGGTTGGTGGATATGTAGCTTCAGTTTGAGTACAGAGAAGGAGGCCCTATATAAGAGCAGAGTTCTGCTCTGTACTGGGAGCTGACAATCACCACATGAAAGGAGAACTTGCAAGACAGAGGGGGCAATACAGACACTGCCCAGCCCGAAACACTGACGAACGATGGACTAACAACAGGGGGAAGATCAGACTGGGAGAGGGGGTGTCTCAGGACTTTTGCTGTTTTCAAAGATCTGTAATTCATGTGCTTTAGTCGTGGTTAAGAAATTCCTTTGCTAAATCTGTGTTCTTGCTTTCCTGCCATATTGTCCTTGAAGGGGTTAAATGAGTCAGTCCAGAGAGACCACAGTCTAGGTAGATCTCCGAGGGTGGGGGGGGGGGAGTGGGTTTCAAGTGACTGTGGGCTTGGGAGGTGTGACTCCAGTTTCAGGGTCTAGGGCAGCTGGAAGGCAGCATCACACATCCCAGGAAGGGCATCAGACATGAGGTCTGAGCCTGGGAGTATATTTACAGCTAGAAACAGTGACTAGACTCCACATAGATCCAGTTGGGTTGGAAGCACATGGTACCCAGCAACTGGATCCACTCAGACTGCTGACCATACACTAGGTTACAGGACAAACTTGTAAAATTGAAGTGTATTTGTATTCCATGATTTGCTTACAGGGATCCTTAATCCCTTTGATATGTACAAAACATTACCACTTTATCCAGTGGAAGTCACCTAAGGCTCTCCTGTCACATGTAAGGCAACTGTTAAGACTTCAGGCAACACAGAGAACAGAATCTACACAGAGCTCCAAGCACACCTACTCCTTCTTTTCATTCTATAAGCAAAAATATTTTCTCAAGTAAGCACCACAGGATCATTATGACCTCTCAAAGTCTTAGGGATAAATCTAATCCCTTCCAAAGACTAGACCATAGCTAGTTCCCACTCAAATCACAAGCTTTGGGTAGGAACATGGTATAAGAATAGTAGTTGAAATTTTTTTTGCATGCAATCAAGTAAGGCAGTTGCTATGCAGTTACTGCTGACTACTGTACAAATGCAATTGTCTCACTGTTACCTTGTCCTCCCCTCCTTTTGTTGGTCTTATCTACCTGTTGTCTCCTCAGATTTTAAGACTATAAATTCTTTGAGGCAGTGACTGTCTTACTTTACTATGTGTCTGTACAGTGCCTAGGACAATGTTGTCTTGATTTATGATGGAGACCTTTAGACACCACCCCATAATATTTCTCAACTGCATGTTTATCAATATAATTTGTGGAGGCCCTCCACTCATTACTTTTGTTTCATGACCAGTTCTCATGGTAGAATCTGCTGAAGAACCATACAAGGTGCGTAAACCCCAAATATGTCCCTCTGAAGACAGCTGGGTTTCATATGAAACATCCTACCCCTGAAGATGGGAGCTAGAATGTTTTTAAAAACAGAATCCTGTGTTCAGGAGGATGAACACTTTTCCAGTTAAACTTCCATGCAACAAACTCCTTTCCGTATGATTGAGAATCCACACTTCATTAACATGGTTCAGTCATTAAGACCAGGATACAGTCCACCCCACAGAGCAGATGCTGCAGGCAAACTGCTGGATAAAGTGTACGAAAGAGAAATTGAGCAGTGTGTAAAAGGACTAGAGGGTGAAATTGTTAACCTGAGTCTTGATGGATGGAGCAATGTCCACAATGATCTTGTTGTATGTGCTTGTGTGACAACAGAAGGGAATACCTTCCTTACAGAAACAATTTACAGATTAGGAACTGCACACACAGCAGAATACTTACAAGAAGTAGCAGTAAAAGCTATAACAAACTGTGAAAAAAAATTCAAATGTCTAGTACGCAGCTTGATCACAGACAATGCTACAAATGTATCCAAGATGAGAAGAAATTTAGAAGAGAGTTCCAAGCTAACAACATACGGGTGCAGTGCTCACTTGATGCACCTCCTAGACAAAGGCTTCAGTGTTCCAGAAATAAAGGCAAATGTTGTTGAAATTGCAAAATACTTCTGTATCAACCACTTTGCAGCAGCTGCTCTGAAAAAAGTGCAAGAAAGCAAGCTAACTCTCCCACAAGACGTGCGATGGAACTCAGTAGTGGACTGTTTTGAGTACTAAATCAAGACCTGGCCTTTTGTGAACAACATCGTGAAAAAATAGATGGCACCGTCACACCCAAAGTTCTCAACATTGGGCTTCAGAGAAATGTGGAACACATGCTGAGTACCCTGAAACCTATTTCTGTAGCCTTGAACAAAATGCAGGGAAATAGCTATTTTATTGCTCACGCTGTTGAAATTTGGAAGGAACTGAGTGAGATCTTAAAAAGAGAAATATGCAACGACAGAGTTGAATTACAAGCATTAAAAAAACCAAATGGGACATGCACTATCTCCAGCTCATTTTCTTGCAAATATTCTCAATACTCAGTACCAGGGTCAGACCTTAACTGCTGAAGAAGAGGAGTTAGCTATGACATGGACATCCAGCAATCATCCCTCCATAATGCCAACCATAATAAACTTCAGAGCTAAGGGTGACCTATTCAAGAAATATATGTTTGCTGATGTTTTCAAGAAAGTCACACCAGTGAACTGGTGGAAGTCACTTAAGCACTTGGATTCAGAGACTGTTGAAGTGATAATCTCACTTTTAACAGCAGTCGCTTCTTCTGCCAGCGTAGAAAGAATATTTTCCTCCTTTGGACTAATTCATTCCAAACTGAGAAATCGTTTGGGACCTGAAAAAGCAGGAAAGCTTGTTTTTCTTTTCCAGGTTATGAACAAACAGGAAAATGAAGGTGAAAACGACTGAGTTAGCTGCAGAAGCCAATATTTTAAGTTTCTCATGTTGACTTGGCTGTCAGTCAATTTAATATTTGTTTTTTAAATGTTTCATTTAACTATTTTAAACAATTTTAACAAAAACAAACCTGATTTTAAAAAACTTTAATGTTTAACTAAATTCAAAAATTAATATGCTTGTTTTGTTAAATTATATGTTTGCTGTTGAAGAAAAGAAATCCAGAATACATAACATTGTTGTTTTAGTTAAATAAAACAATTTAAAATGTCTGTCTGTTGATGTTCTCCTCCTAATACAGCATGGCAAGAAAATCCTCCAAATGTGATTAACCTGTTGAATTGGAGATATTTATGAAGTCATTGGGAGGTGAACTATCTGCTTCAATTACCTTTGGTAAATGAAATAACCAATCATTCGGTTTCTGATATAGCTGTAAAGTTTTCAAAATAAATCACTTTAAAAATGTATAGTGTGTACCTTCTAAAAATTAAGCCTACATCTATATCTATTCAGGTTATAACAACCAACAAGAATGCACTTTTATGTAGAAATCCATGATTAAATCGAGTCTTCATGACCAGTGATTTAAATCATGATTTAAATCAATTTGATTTAAATCAAATCCCCCCTGGTAAAGATCCCCAAAAGGTTAACATTGGCTTAGCTCAGTGGTTCTCAGCCTTTCCAGACTACTGTACCCCTTTCAGAGCCTGAAGCCCAAGCCCCTGCTGTTCAGGGCTGAAGCACATAACTTAGCTTTGCAGGTCCCCCAGTGGCGTGGGGCCCCAGGCAATTGCCCTGCTTGCCTCCCCATAATGCCAGCCACGCACTTGTGACCCCCCAAACCTGTCCAGTGCCCCCTAGTGGTTCATAATCCCCAGGTTGAGAAACCCTGATCTGGATGAGTTAACTACCCCCTAGAAGACCGCTGCGTATCCCTGGGGGTATATGTACCCCTGGTTGAGAACCACTGCTTTATCTCACCTCTCTTTGCTATCTCCGTTGCAGTTGCTTTGCCAATACCACTGTTTGCTCCAGTAATCATGAAGGATCTTCCAGTTACGTTTACCTCCAAGTCTGCCGGAACAAAGTGTTTGGATGCAGAGTCATAGCCACTCCTGAATAAATCAATTAAAAGACTTGTAAATGACAGAATATTTTGTATCCATAAAAATACAAAGTCTTCAGTGGAAGAAGGAAAAAGGGAATCCACTACCTGGACTCAATTTAACTACTTATTTATTTTCTTTAGCTTTCTAATAAATATAACAAGTCCCCATCTATTGCTCTAGGAGTCTTCCATGTAACATTAAAAGGCACTGATCAGCAAGAATATGTGGAGAATATACACAGCTGGGAAATCGGTTTTACAATGTGAGTGTGTTACACACACACACACAATAAAACAAGAATCAGAATTTAAGGCCAGAAGGGACCACAAGATCATCCAGTCTGACCTCCTGTATCTCACAGGCCCCCCAACACCACCCAGCACCCATACTCTAAACCCAACCACCAAAGTGAGACCAAAATAAATGATCCCCACCAGAGATTAGACTACTATGTGACACAGGCAGAGAACAGGTAGAACCAAGGTGCACCAGCGCTCAAGGTCCCTGCAATGGCAGGGAAATGATCAAATGAGATCTACTCAGATAACCCTGGCAAGTCACCTGTTTCCACACTCTGCAGAGGAGCGTGAAATCCCCTCCAGGTCACTGCCAATCTGACCTGGGGGGAAATTCCTTCCTGACCCCTGGTAGGAGGCATTCAATGAAATTCATAGATACTAAGGTCAGAAGGGACGATTATGATCATCTAGTCTGACCTCCTGCACAACGCAGGCCACAGAATCTCACCCACCCACTCCTGCAAAAAACCTCTCACCTATGTCTGAGCTATTGAAGTCCTCAAATCGTGGTTTAAAGACTTCAACGAGCAGAGAATCCTCCAGCAAGTGACCCGTGCCCCATGCTACAGAGGAAGGCGAAAAACCTCCAGGGCCTCTTCCAATCTGCCCTGGAGGAAAATTCCTCCCCGACCCCAGATATGGCCATCAGCTAAACCCTGAGCATATGGGCAAGATTCACCAGCCAGATACTACAGAAAATTCTTTCCTGGGTAACGCAGGCCTAATGGCCTGTGATGGGATGTTAGATGGGGTGGGATCTATTTACCATGAATATTTAAAGATCAATTAATTACCAAAATCATGTTATCCCATCATACTATCTCCTCCATAAACTTATCAAGTTTAATCTTAAAGCCAGATAGCTCTTTTGCCCCCACTGCTTCCCTTGGAAGGCTATTCCAAAACTTCACTCCACTGATGGTTAGAAAACTTTGTCTAATTTCAAGTCTAAACCTCCCTGTGGACAGTTTATATCCATTTGTTCTTGTGTCCACATTGGTGCTGAGCTTAAATAATTCCTCTCCCTCTCCAGTATTTATCCCTCTGATATATTTATAAATTACAAGGTAGGAAATTAAAAACCAATAAAAGGAAATGCTTTTTCACACAATGTGATTGAACTGGTTGCCATGGAAAGGCACTGAGGCCAAGAACTCAGCAAGGTTTGACAAGGGACTGAACATTTAGATGGATAGCTGGAATGAATGGCAACCAACATGTTAGATGGGACATTAAACCTCATATTTAAGGGTTTAAGACAATCTCTTATTAGAGATCAGGCAGAGACCTACATCAGGGGCAGATTATCCCATATCTGCCTACTACAAGGTTCTTACACCTTCCTCTGAAGCAGCGGATACTAGCCACTGTCAGAGACAGGGTCCTGCAGCAGATATCCCTCAGTCTGAGCCAGGGTGGCAGTCCCTAGGTAGGGTGGCCAGATGTCCCGTTTTTTATAGGGACAGTCCCATTTTGGGGGACATTTTCTTATATAGGCGCCTATTACCCCGCCCACCCCCTGTCCCATTTTTTCCCCACAGTTGCTATCTGGTCACCTTACCCCCCAGGCAACATCTGCTCCGCAGCCTGCCCATAAAGTCATTATCTATCTGGGTGGGGTAAAGGGCTAGGGGAAGGAGCTGCCAAGCGCCACGGCTTTGCCAGGGGCTCTTTGTCACGCGGCTCGCTGCCCGGGCCCGGGGGGCAGCGCGCGCCTGGGCCGATGGGGGAAGAGACCCCCGGGCTGCCGAAGGGTTTCGCAGGCACGGCGGGGAGCCCCGCTGCCGTCACGTGCGCCCAGCAACCAAGCCACAGACCTTCGCGGCTGCGGGCCTGCTCTGTGCTCGGTCGCGCCCGGGCCGCCCTCCGCAGGGTTTCGGCAGCTGAACCCCCACGCCAAAAACCGAGACCTGCTCCGCTGAAGAGCCAGACCCAGCCCGAGCCGGCCCGGCTGCCTCGGTGCCTCTGACAGAGGCGTGCCCCCGCTGAAGACAAGCGGCCACACCCGCCCGACGGCTCAGGGCACGGCGCGGGAGAGGAGACCCCATGCGGCAGCTTTGCCTACCAAGGCTGCAGAGGCCACGGGCTCGCAACCAGCCACGCGCCAGGGCGCTCAACCGGGCCCCGCCCCCCGTTGCGGCGGCCTCAGGGTACAGAGCCCGAGGGCGGGGGGCCGGGGACAGCCCCGACCCCCCCCCCAGGAGCCCGGCGCGCCCGCCCGCGGGCAGCGGGAGCCCCCTGCTCGGGCAGCCCCCGCCAGAGCTCGGGGGCCGGCGGGCCGGATCTCCCGCCCCCCAGCGGCCGGTACCTGGTGTACTCCCGCAGCCCCTTCAGGAACCACACGGTGTTCCGGTACCAGGACATGGCGCCGGCGCCCCTGCCCCTGCCGCCGCCGCCGCCGCCCGGCTGTTGTGTAAGCGCCGCCCCGCCCCCGGGGTTAGATAAGCCACTGGGGCCGGGAGACGCCCGGGCCGAGCCGGTCGGGCCCTTGGCAGCTCTGGGGGGCTGCTAGCGGTAAGAGGTCGCGGATTCCTACAGATAGAAGGTCTGACATCCCCGCCCGGGGGGGGAGAAAGCGCTGGCGGTAGGAATTAGCGTCATCCCATTGCCGTCTCACAGCCAGCACATCCCTCTAGTTTGCTGCAGCCACGGGTCCAACTTTGCTAAAAAAAAAAAAAAAAAGAGGGGGGGGGGGGTATTTCAAGCAGTCTCACATGTGAAACCAACCTGATCGCTTTCTTTACCGCTTTAAAAAGCCTACAAGCAGTAGACGTGGTATATCTTGCCTTCAGTAAGGCTTTTGAGACTGTCTCCCCCGACCTCATAAACAAACTATGAGGAAATGAAACCTAGATGGACATAACGATAAATAAGATGGGCATAACGAGTGGGGTTCTCCAGGGATCAGTTCTGGATATGTTTCTGTTCAAAACCTTAACGATTGAGATAATGGCATAGAGAGTACACTTATAAATTTAAGGTGTAGAAAACATGACCTAGCTAATGGCATGGAGAGTACACTTATAACGTTTGTGAAAATTTAAGGTCTAGAAAACATGACTTATGAGGGCAGTTTGAAATATGAGAACAGTTTTCAAGCATGTACAAATAAAGTAGCTTTTTACAAAAGCTATTTCTTACAATCTATAGGTATCACTAACTGCTACAGAGTTACATTTCTACATGTAGCAATTTCACATATACTATAGTGCAAGAAACTGCTATCTGTAGGCATTTGCTACATCCGGTAGCAGTTTAATACAATCACAGTTTCTTATAATCTAAACGTATCGATAAGTGCTACTGGTAGCACATTCCTACGCGGAGCAGTATCCTTCACTACACCCACAGCTCTCTGCGGGAGCCCGCGGCCTGCACTGCTGCTGTCCAGCACTTTTTGGCGCACGGCGGTGGGGTCTTGTCGCTGAGGGCTCGTGTACTCTGGACAGGCAGAGACCCCTGCGCGGATACACACATGTCTCCGCATCCCATCCGCGAGCCGCAAAAATTACGTACAAATCTCCGCTGATATCCGCGGATTTGCAGGGCTCTACGGTGCGGGCCGGGCTGAGGCTCCGAGGCATCCCCCCCATCGGAGCCTGTTCGGGGAGAGCCAGGCGGGTAGCTGTGTGGAGCCCCAGAAGACCCTCCACCGCTTGCTCTGGGCAGGGAGCCCAAGCAGCCCCCGGCCCGTATCCCTGCCCCCCAGTGTCCC